AGTTAGGGTTTAGGGTTTAGGGTTTAGGGTTTAGGGTTTAGGGTTTAGGGTTTAGGGTTTAGGGTTTGGGTTCCGTAAGCCCTAAACCCTTGTTGTGGTCGTTTTCCGCGCGTTTGGGCTTGAGGGCCCAATGATACTTTGTAGCTACATTTTCCTCCGCAATTTCCAACAGCTTCCTGTTTCGGTCAAAAACACATTTGTCGTTAGCTTGCTCTGCGCTGTGGCGTCAAAATTCATAAAACTCGAAAAATTGCTCGGCGCAGCTGCCAAGAACTATGTTTTCAAGCCACGTAGATGCTACCTTTTGGGTTTTGCTCGGTCTGTTCATCGACCGGGCTTGTCAGGAACAGTTACAAGCTCGAGAAATTCGAGCTTTCGACGGTGCCAGAAGAGATCAAGTCGGAAAAAGCAGGAAAATCGCATGAGCCCCTAAACCCTAAACCCTAAATCGAAAACACCAGGATGCGGAGGCTCTGGAGGACATGACGATGTGATGTTTCTGCAGCGGACCCACGAAAACACGAGGAGTTTGTGATTCTTACTTGCTTATAGAAGCGCTTGGAACAGGCATGCGGACGGGTCCTCACACCGTGCAGACGGATGGCGCAAATCGGTTTTCTGAGCTGACTCTTAATCTGAAGCAGGTTTGGAGTCTTCGAAACGTCTTGCAAGCGCGGCAGGTCGTGACTTTTGATGTTTCATTGTATGCTTTTGATTCGGGTTTGCTTTTTGTTGGCGTGCTGACGACTTCATGCAATTATGGGCACTCAGGAGTCGCGCTACTTCTGGTACGCAGAACAAGCCCCAGGACTGATTTTAACAGCATGACTATACCGTAACATGTTGTCAGGTTCCGTGCGTAAATCCCACACCCGCAAGTTGAAGAGGCTTCGTCCGAAATTCGTGAGATGCATGCAGCACTTCCAGTCCAAACCTGATGCCATACCAGGCGTGAGGCTAAACCGGAAATGTCAACACGGTCAACGTTTCGTGTCTGCCGGAACGCGCGAGCTGCGTTCGCAACATGCTTGGGGAAGGAGTCCCGAACCTTCTGGCTGGGCACAGGTAGGTTGTGCCAGCAGTCGCAAAGTCAAGCAGCAGCAGACTTCCACCAAGCAGAGAACTGCAAGCAAGCCGGTCGCCTGTCCGTTGCGACTTCCCGTAAGCCGGAGTTTGGGCCACAAAGCCCGTCCATGCACCTGACACCTTCCGCACTTGAACTAATGGCATGACGTCCTTTGTCTTGGCGACGAGCGCGTCAAGACTTTCTCACGTACCTCGCTCGTTTTGTCGCTTTGTTCATTTTCTTCCAACAGCTGCTCTTCAACATGCCAGACAACCAGCCGACAACCAGCAGTCACAGCCCAGACACGTGGTGTAGCAGCAAACTTGCTGCAGCGAAAAGCAGCAGTCACAGCCTAACCCGAAACCCGAAACCCTAAACCCCTAAACCCTAAACAGCAAACTTGCAGGAGCGACCTTCACCATGGGAGACATGCATGACAGCACTAAAAAACACTAGCGACATAGCGTAGCTGGCACATCACATAGACAACGCTTGGTGCAAGAAGCTTACCGGGAGGCCTAGACAAAAGGACAGGGTGCATGAGCAAGGACCTTAGTTGGAGACAGTCTGCAGAAGCAACGAACTCTTCAGCAGAACGGCTGTAGGAAGTGCATGGCAAGTATACTAGGTATTCAAGCTTCGGACATCACGGTGACAAGTAAATACAGGTAACGGAATTACACCCCCCCAACCCCCCAACTCCAAATCTTTGCATGCACCGGCACTGCCTGACGTCCGAAACCCCTGAAAACACCGAAGGGAAAGGGTCCTGAAACCTAGCGCAAACTGAGCGTGAAGAGGTCTTTGGAAGGAACAATACAACAAGGAGCCCTAAGGAACAATATTCATAGCTCATACTTCAAGGCCTCTGTAGCCAGAGCATGGTGGATGTATCCTCCAACCTAAACCCTAAACCCTAAGCCCTAAACCCTAGACCCAAAACCCTAAAGTCTTCGCTGAGGGC